TGCAGTCTGGGAAGGCCTGGCTCTGACCTCCACATGCCCGCCCTCCCCGTCAGCTGTCTTGGCCCTGCCTGGCTCTGACTTCACCCCGGGCTTCTGCTCTCCTGGGAGGAGTGGCCATGCTCTAGAGTCCCCATTGGCTGAAGCCTCCCTGCTGCACACATCCCTGCCTCCTGCTGGCTGCCTTCCCAGCTTGGTTGCTGGGATTGAGCTTGGGGGTGCCGGGGGTGGGGGGGATGGGGGGGTGGAGTAGAGTTTGAGACACTTAGGCGTTAGCAATTGGAGGCCCTGATCTTGCTGCCTGGGCATCTAGAAGGTTCTCTGAGCTCCTCACCATGAGAATGGTGTGGGAAGACGGAGCCTCCCTGCTGCCTCCCTGCCGCCTCCCTTTGCTATCACACCCAGAACGCTAAACCACCTGTATCCACATCTATGTAGACCCCCAGGGCACAGCCAGGCTGGAGCCGCCTTTGGCAGTGGTTTCCATGGTGATGGACCCTGCTGCTTGAGTGTAGCAGCCTTTAGGCAGCCTTTGAGAGCCTGGAAGATGGGCCGCTGTCGTCTGTGGACCCCCACCCAGGCCAAGCATTCCTAGGTCTGCTGCTCTCCTCTCCTCTTGGGGCCTAGCCCTGTGCCTTGTACCCAGGAACTCTTGGAAAACGCTGCATCTCTGGGAGGCACAGCAGTCCTGGGTCGGACAGGCCTGGTTCATCTCTTCGTGGGATTTGAACGCGTTACCTTGGTAAAATTTGAGTTTGTCGGGTTAGCGGCAGGACCCTTAGGAGAGAGACTGTGGCCCCAGAGCCAGCTGCGTCCTCATCCCATAGCTGACGTAGGCTCACATCTGTCACTGTCATGTCTGACATTTTGTGTTGCTGTTTCCAAGGCCCAGGGCCTTAGCCTCCTCTTGTCCTAGGAGACCCTGGGGACAGTGTGTATAGCCCAAAGGAGCTCAGGTCACAGTCAGAACCCTAGGACTGACTGCAGCTGGGCTTTGCCCTTGCCTCCAGCCTCAGTTTCCCTGTCCGTGACAGTTGTTAACAGAGCACCCGCCTCACAAGTCTGTGGTTGGAATAAAGTTGGATTACCCCATGTGGACCCCCCGAGAGAGCATGCAGCACTTAAGTGCTGGGTCAACAAGCTGTGACTGTGACCACTGCTGCACGGCCCCCACTGGCCATGAGAACTGGACTCAGTGTTTGCCGCCACCTCCACCAATTCATTCTCATAAGTGAAGGTGTGCCCAGCTCCTGAGCATGCTTCTGACTAGGGGGACAGAGAAACTGAGATGGGACAGCAGGTCTCCTCTCAGAGGGGCTACCAGGCATGTCCCCCCTTCTGCCTGGAGAGCGGGAAAGGGTACTCCAAGCTTGAAGCCCCATTTCTCACGTGTGGGGTGCAGAACTTTCTCGTTGGTGCTTCGTCTGGGTCAGGTGACTGGCAGTGATTACCCAGAACTCCACAGTCAGTAGATGTGAGTGCAGAAGAAGCAGCACTGACTGAGGTGCCTCTTCTGAGGCCCTCAGGAAGGGGAGAGCCTGAGAAAGGGGTCTGTGGGCCTGTGGGGATGTGGAGCCACGCTTGCCACACTGTGTGGGGAGCAATTCCCAGGCTTCACTGACCCGGGCCTCCCTGCACGGGAGGTGGATGAGCCTTCCTTATATCCCTTCTCCTTCCAGTCCCTGCCCCCAACCCCAGGTCTCACTTTTTTTTTTTTTTTTTTTTTGGTCATATAACTGTTAATTGTTTATTGAGAGAAACTGCGCCTTAGCCCTCACATTCGCGTTCCATCGTTCAGGAACACAGGTCAGTGATGACTGTCTGTGGAGCTCAATCCAAAGAGTTCTTTGCCCTTCTGAAATCGCTTCACCCTTTGATACCAGCCTTCCTTATCTCTTCAAAAATCTCTCATGGAATCGTAATTCCTTTAGAAATCTGTACCTGCCTTCTTTCTTGGTTTGGCTGCACCCAACTTAGAGGAAGCTGCACCTCCCAGGGCCACAATGAATGTGCTGACAGTAGGAACCCGCAGGCGCAGAACACCATGCATTTGAGGGTTCGGCAATGCCCTGGGAGTCAGGGCAGTGAACGTCCACTGCACCCATTTCCTCCCTGCCCTGGGAGTCAGGGTAGTGAACGTCCACTGCACCAATTATTTCCTTCCTGCCCTGGGAGTCAGGGTAGTGAACGTCCACTGCACCAATTATTTCCTTCCTGCCCTGGGAGTCAGGGTAGTGAACGCCCACTGCACCCATTCCCTTCCTGCACTGGGAGTCAGGGTAGTGAACGCCCACTGCACCCATTTCCTCCCTGCCCTGGGAGTCAGGGTAGTGAACGTCCACTGCACCCATTTCCTCCCTGCCCTGGGAGTCAGGGTAGTGAACGCCCACTGCACCCATTTCCTTCCTGCCCTGGGAGTCAGGGTAGTGAACGCCCACTGCACCTATTTCCTCCCTGCCCTGGGAGTCAGGGCAGTGAACGCCCACTGCACCCATTTCCTTCCTGCCCTGGGAGTCAGAGTAGTGAACGTCCACTGCACCCATTTCCTTCCTGCCCTGGGAGTCAGGGCAGTGAACGTCCACTGCACCAATTATTTCCTTCCTGCCCTGGGAGTCAGGGTAGTGAATGCCCACTGCACCAATTATTTCCTTCCTGCTTCTCAGAGAAACGGAGACCTGGGTCCCACTTTTCACAGTGTGGTCTTCATCGGGTCTTCCTATTTCCCGTGCAGCCTGGCCATCTGCTTGCTTGGAGTGTTTGTTCCATTTGTTTTCCAATTTACCACTTTAAACTTTTTTGTTTTTATTTATTTTTTTTAAGATTTATTTATTGCTGGGCGGTGGTGGCGCACGCCTTTAATCCCAGCACTCGGGAGGCAGAGCCAGGCGGATCTCTGTGAGTTCGAGGCCAGCCTGGGCTACCAAGTGAGTTCCAGGAAAGGCGCAAAGCTACACAGAGAAACCCTGTCTCGAAAAACCAAAAAAAAAAAAAAAAGATTTATTTATTTATTATATTATATTTATTATAATATTATTTATTATACAGTGCTCTGCCTGCATGTGTCCCTGCACACCAGAAGAGGGCACCAGATCTCATTACAGATGGTTGTGAGCCACCATGTGGGTGCTGGGAATCGAACTCAGGACCTCTGGAAGAGCAGGCAGTGCTCTCAACCCCTGAGCCATCTCTCCAGCCCTCATTTTTATTTTTTTGAGCAGTGTTTCACTGTGGAGCCCTGGCTGGCATGGGACTCTCTATGTAGCTCTGGCTGGCCTTGACCCATGGAGATGTAGCTGCCTCTGCCTCCCAAGTACTGGGACTAAAGGTGTATACTACCATACCTGCAGTTAAACATTGTAAAATGTACAGTTCAGTGGGATTAACTGCATTTATATTGGGACCCTTCACCACTATCTTCAGAACTTTTCGTCTTTTTGAGCCAGAGCCCACCCCCTGCACGCCCCATCAAGCAGTAGCGCAGTCCCTTGTCACCCACTGTACTACAAATACGATCCAAGGATGTCATCCTATGCGTGACTTCTAGTGTTTGCCCTTTGGGGGCTGCTATGTCTCAGTATAATGTCAACCCCTTTCATTTATTTTTGAGACTGTGTCAGAATTTCCTTCCTTTTTAGTGCTGAGACACAGACATGGGACTCCATATATATACTGCTACATTTAAAACATTGTTTATTTATTTGTATTGTCTGTGTGAGTGTGTGTGTGAGTGTGTGTGGAAGTGTGTGTGTGTGTGTGTGTGTGTGTGTGTGTGTGTGTACACGCACACAGGCCAAAAGAAGGCATCCAGGGCCTTCGTTCGTCACTTTCCACCTGTTCCTTTGAGGCAGAATTTCTCTCTGAACCTGGAGCTCAAATTTTCTTGGCTAGGCTGGAAGCCAGCAAGCCCCGGTGTTCCTCAGATCTATTGACTTCGGAGCTCTGGGTAGTCATTGTCAGTAACTAGTCATTGACACAGCTGAAGAGCCAACAGAGAAAGTTCTGGAACCCACACGTGAGAGGTGGGGCTTCAGGCTTGGTGTACCCTTTACTGTTCTCAGGCAGGATGGTCCCTTTCCCTCTCAGGAGTGCCACACTTGTTTTCCTCCTGGCTCTGCCCACCTTGGGGCTGGGTTCCAGGAGTTTGTAAGATGCTCAGTGTTTTGGTTACTTTTGCTGTGAAGAGACACCATGACCAAGGCAACTTACAGAAGAGTTTATTGGGGGCTTACAGTTTCAGAGGGCGACTCCATGACCATCCTGGCAGGGAGCCCGGCAGCAGACAGGCATGCATGGCACTGGAGCAGTAGCTGAGACACAGTCATGATGCAGAGAGCTAACTGGAAATGGCTTTTGAAACCTCAAAGCCTGTCCCAGTGACACACCTCCTCCAACAAGGCCACACCTCCTGATCCTTCCTAAACAGTTCCATTGACTGGGGACCAAGCATTCAAATATATGAGCCTACAGGGATGGGAGGGCATTCTCATTTAAACCACCACACTCCATTCGCTATGTGGGTGTTGGGATCTGAACTCTGGTCCTCAGGACTTTGCAAGTGTTTTTAACTGCTGAGCTATCTCTCTGCACCCCACCACCACCACCTTTTTTAGGAGGGGAAGTCTTTCAAGTGAGAAAGTCAAGAATGAAACATGGTGGCGGGCCTATAATTCCAGTCTTCTAGAGGCTGAAGAAGAACAAGAGCTCAAAGCCAACCTGGGCTACACAGAGAGACACTGTTAAAAAAAAGAATAAGCCAATCTAAAGGAAAACTCTAAAAGTTGCCCACTATTTGTAACAAGGAAGTAGACACTCTTCTAAGAGGGAGCTGCCACAGGTGGCATTCTCCTGAACTCTGAGAACATGGGCTGGAGGATCGTGGGTCATGGTGGTCATTCTTGGTTAGTCTGGTCCAAACTGCTTCTCCTCCTCCATAGCTGAGGTGTCAGGGTTAGCAGGGCAGAGACACACAGAATGCTGACCACGGTGTCCTCACCTGTCCCCAGGGCTTTGCCTCTATGTTCTCTGCTCGCACATCCCGGAAGTCAGTCTCACACTCAGAGCACGGAGACGCCTCCGCCATGGCAGAGGAGGAGGAGTACCGGAACGCCACGGAGGTGCAGATGAGCCAGCTGGTGCTGCCCTGCCACACTAACCACCGTGGGGAACTGAGCATTGGACAGTTGCTCAAATGGATCGACACCACAGCCTGCCTGTCAGGTGAGGCTCTGCTCCAGGCTCTCATCACATCCCCACTACTTGCCCTGTCGAACCTGGGCAGGGGCCCCAATTTTTGAAGATGGTCTCCTTCTCTCTCATGATCACCACACTTGTTCCCCCTCTGGCCTTAGCTCCTGCTCGCCCCTTGCCTCAAATCCTCTGTTGATCTCCTAGTTGTCTGAGCAGCCTGTCCCTCTCCCTTGGTCCCCTTGTTGGTACCACGCAGATGTCCCTGCCTGCTGCTACTGTAGCCTACCCATAGCTGTTTCCCGTTGGCTGGTAAAGACCAGACAGAGGCTGCACCCACACAATCCTCTCCATGTTGGCTTTTGTTACATTCATTTCTCCAGCCTCCAGGTCTAACACAGTGACTTGGCTATACCAGCAGGATGTGAGAGGTCCTAGCCAGCTGTGGGGTCAGGGAAAGGGCTCCAGAGGGGACCAAGGGCTGAGGCAAGAAGTGGGAAAAGAAAGGTGGGCCCTCCTGGTGGAGAAGCCTCTGGAAGAGGGGTATGTGGTCAGAGGCCTGGACATGGACAGGCTGCTAACATTTGGCTTTTCTTCTCCCGAGCCAGCGGAGAGGCATGCTGGCTGCCCCTGTGTCACGGCGTCCATGGATGACATCTACTTTGACCACACCATTAGGTAAGCGACCCTCTGACTCCACTACCCTCTTGGTCTCCCCACCTCCAGCCCAGGGCCTGCATCCCAACCTCCCCACCTACCAGGTTGTGTGGTACTTGGAGCTGACTCAGTTGACTGATGACTTTGGAAGGTGGAACCGTGGTGTCTTGGGGATGGAACATCTTTCTGCAAGCGTGTGGGATAGCAGGGGGTTAGGAGTGGCCTGTTGCTCTGTGCCATCAGGTGGGCTTTCTCGCCAGGGTGGGGCCAGGGGGGTTGTCTCAGGTTTGCAGCTGGAAAGACTCCTCTGGTGGGGTATGGAGGCCAGGCTGTGGAATACGCAGAGCCAACAGCTCGGGGGTCTGAAGTGTGTCATGTGGTGGTGCTATGTGACTTTGGTTGGGTAGGTTAGATTCTCTCTCTGGTCTTTGTTTTCCTTACCTGTAAAATGGAAGGACTGGAATTTGTCCGGGAAACACCTCTTTTAGCTCAGACATTTCTTCACAGGTCCCTGGTCACTGGACTATAGGGAGCCAGCCCCCTGACAAGGCACCGGGGCCCAGCCTGTGCTAGAAGAGTGAGCCTTGGTTCACACCCGTTCTTCACAGCTCTTACTCAGGGACACTTTTTCCTTTTCAGTGACTGTATGGGTTAGACAGCTGGTCATTCCCTCCAGGCTTTGCCACTGGTCTGCATCCTCCTGGGACACAAGGAGGCTGTGGAGCCCTTGGCCCAGGCCCAGGACAGGTCTCACAGAGAGCTCTTGCTCCTGGGCTACTCCTAGAGATCCTGTCTGTCCACAGGATATCAGGCGCTTCTTCAGGGCTTGCCTGGCACCCTGTGTGGACGGATAAGGAGGATGTTTGGTCAGTTCCTGTACTGAAGTCAGTCACCTGTTCACTACACACTCAGTATTAGTTAATGTGCTGGCTTTACGTCAGCTTGACCCAGAAGAACGGACCTCAGGTGAGAAAGTGCTCCCATCAGATGGGCAAGCCTGTGGGACAGTTCCTCAATTAACAATGGATGTGGGAGGGCCCACTGTGTGTAGTGGCACTCTGGGCAGGTGGTCCTAGGCTGTAGAAGAAAGCTGGCTGAGTAAGCCATGGGGAACAAGCCAGGAAGTGGCATCCTCCATGGTCTCTGCTTCAGTTCCTGTCCCCAGATTTCTGCCTTAGATGATGAACTGTGATGTAGGAGTGAAATAAACTGTTTCCTCCCAAGTTGCTTTTTGGTCATGGTGTTTCATCACAGCCACAGTTGAGCCACTAGTTAAGATAGTTAAGAGCCTTTGTGGATTGGTGTCATGCTGGGTTTGGGGACACAAACGACCAGAATACAATCCTTAAGCCCAGGACTACCCAGTCTGCGGAGGGACAGCTGGAGAAATGTCATTTGCATTTGTAGTGGGAAGCTGAGGCTTGAAGTATGGCTCAGAGCATGTGTTCAGCATGAAGGAGCCCTGGGTTCGAGCCCCACCACCACCATGACAGAAAAGCAGCAAGTCCTCCAGTGACAATGAGATCTGGTAAAGTGTTGCTTTGTCATACTTTGCTATTTATCCCTTAGTTCTGGGGAGCCAACCCAGCTTGGACCAGCTTGACAGACAGTTTCAGCTCGACAGAAAAGCTTTATCCCTGAAAAGGTGGTACTAAGTGCCCATGTGCTCCAGCTCAGTTCCCTCTTATCAACATCTTACATTTCTATTTTATCAATATATTGCTTAGAATGCCTTCTTAATGTGTTAACATATTTAATAATGAGGGCTACAGTATGAGGTTTGTGTTGTTAGTATCCTCATTTTACAGAGAAGTGAGGTAACTTGTTCAGGCCACACAGCAGGTGGAGGACCCAGGATTCACTCTCAGGTGGCAATCTGGCCCTAGGGCCCTTTCTTTTTATCAGTGCATTTCATGGGTTTGGGGGCAGGGCATCAGGGCAGGTTGTCAAGAGGAATTCCTGGAGTGGTCTTAGCTGGCTGGAGGACAGGGAGCATTGTGCTCTGGAGGCTAGGACACCGGATCTGGGTAGGCCACTCCACATAGTTGAAAGGGCAGGTTTATTTTGTGGGGTAACTTACAAGTGAAGGGATAGGTAACAGGGTCTGGGAGAGGTGTAGCACAGTCTGGCAGTGTTCTCTGGAGAACTCTGCTCGGTCTACCTCCAGCATCCAGGGTCCAGGAACCAAGAGAGCCGGTGCATCTGGATCTTGGGTCTTCAGGGTCCTCTCTCAGCCCCACCTTGTAGGTGTGACAGTTACCGAAGCCTCAGTGGGGGTTGGAACTTTCAGATCAAAGCTGGAATGGCTATCCACTACATCTGGGTCTGCTCTGGACCCCACTGCTGATTTGGGTTCTCTTCATTGGAAAGCATGGGGAGGGCTAGGGTGCATATGTGGGGGGTGAACCTGCTGCAGGAACCAGAAGGTGACAGTGAGTCTGGGCAGAGGGGTACAGGAGAAGGGCACGCTGTAGAGAGCCTAGAACATGCTGATGGCCAGACTAGGCCTGGCAGCACCTGAGGACAGTTGCAGGTTTCCATTTGTTTCTTTTGGTTTTTGTCATTTAAAAATATTTCAAGCCAGGCATGGTGGTACGCATCTATAGTCTTAGCATTTGGGAGGCTGAGACAGGGGCATTGTGTGATTAAAAGCCGACTTGGTTTATATAACATAATAAAACCCTGTTTCAAACATAACCTCCAAATAAATATACTAATTTAATTAAATAAAAATTACCAAAAACATGTTAAGGGATCCCCCACACCTGTAATAATACCACTACTCAGGAGATGAGGCAGGAGAATCATGAGTTCATGGTCAGCCTGGGGTACATAATGAGACCCTGTCCCAAACAATACAAGACAAAGCAAACTATTTTCGAACATATCTGTAAGGACTAAGAACTAATTTTAAACAACTTTCACATGACTACCATACCTGAAAAATGGTCAATTATTTCTCTCCACCAGTTTGCAAATCAACTGAGCGTGTGTGTGTGTGTGTGTGTGTGTGTGTGTGTGTGTGTGTGTGTGTGTGTAAGATGCCGGTGGAGACCAGAAGGATTAGATTCCTGGAGCTGAGTTTATAGGTGGTTGTGAGCCACTGGACGTGGGTGCTGTTAACCATCCAGCCCTCTTCAGCCCTCTCAGACCTCTTCTAGCACCTTCTAGCACCACAGAAAGATAAGTCAGCTTTAAATCACCAATCCCCTAATCCCTTGGGGAATCTATCCCCAGATCCCCCACGGGTGCCTGTAACCCTGACTGGCATCAATCCCTACACATACTGTGATGTCTCCTATAGGTACAAAGCCATGATGAAGCTGAGTTCAAAATTAGGTAAGTCAGGGTTTAACCATGAAAGGCTGTGCCCGGCCTGGTGGCACAAGCCTATAACCCCAGCTATGCTGGAACCTAGAGTGGGGGGATCATGAATTGATCTTGAATTCAAGACCAGCATGAGCTACAGAGTAAGTTCAAGGCCAGTCTGGGCATCTTAGTGAGATCCTGTCTTAAAACTGAAGTAAAAAGGAAGCTGGGGATTCAGTTTAGTGGTAGAACACTTGCCTGAGGCCCTAGGTTCAATCTCCAGTATTGAGGTGAAGGAGAAGAGGGGAACTTATAATAAAATTGATCAATTATAACAACATGCTTCCACAAATACTAGAAACTTTGAAGTTATTTATCTCTTTTTAAACTTTTTTTTTTTTTTGAGACAGGGTTTCTCTGTGTAGTTTTGGTGCCTGTCCTGGATCTCGCTCTGTAGACTAGGCTGGTCTTGAACTCACAGAGATTTGCCCGGCTCTGCCTCCTAATTGCTGAGATTAAAGATGTGCATCCTTTTTAAACTTCTTTTTTTTTTTTTTTTTTGTTTTTTTGTTTTTTGAGACAGGGTTTCTCTGTGTAGCTTTGCGCCTTTTCCTGGAACTCACTTGGTAGCCCAGGCTGGCCTCGAACTCACAGAGATCCGCCTGCCTCTGCCTCCCAAGTGTTGGGATTAAAGGCGTGTGCCACCACCGCCTGGCTCCTTTTTAAACTTCTAATTAACTTTATGTGTATGGGTGTTTTGCCTGCCTGTATGTCTGTGCACAACATGTGTGCAGTGTTCACAGAGGCCAGAAGAGGGTGACAGATTCCCTGGAACTGGAGTTACAGGTGGTTGTGAGCTGCCCTGTAGGTGCTGGAATTGAACCTGGGTCCTGTGCAAGAGCAGCCAGTGCTCTTAACCACTGCGCCATTATTCCAGCTCTCTCTTTTCACTTTTACCTTTTTCTGAGACAGGATTTCTCTGTGTGGTCCTGGCTGTCCTGGAATTTGCTTTGTAGACCAGGCTGGCCTTGAACTCACAGAGATCTGCCTGCCTCTGCCTCCCGAGTGCTGGGATTAAAGGTGTGCGCCACCACTGCCCGGCTCTTTCCTAACTTCCGATCGTGAAAATTTCCAAGCACATGGATATTAGGGCATGCCACTGTTGCTAGGATCCGACAGTTGCTGCCGCCTTGCTGCCTTGCTTTATCTATACGTGGGTAAAGGCATGTAAAAACACATTTTGCAGATGACACTCTCCTGCCCGAGTGTCAGTATTGCTGAAAACATTAACAGAGATGACTTTCCAGCACTGTGAGCAGAAGTCACTCACGGAGCCCCTGAACTGACCAGCTGGGTGCTGGGTTGAGTCACCCTACCTCTCACTGGGCCTTGGAGGCATAGGCAGTCCCGCTGCATTCCCAGAGCTGTACATACAAGGAGGCGGGCTCAGAGAAGTGAGGTGACTTACCCCAGGTCACCAAATGGTGGTATGACAGTTGAAGCAGAACATGACCAACCTAGTCTTGTGTGGCCACACTATGGCCTTGTGACTGGCATGCCGCTTGGCTTTGGTAGGGGACAGTGCACTCCGCCTGTTCATGAGCCAAGGTGAAGAGAGGTAAAAGGACTTCTTGAGGTCACAGTGATTGAACGGGCCAGCTTTCCAGCCTTTTGCCCTCTCCATCCCCATAGCCCATCAGCTGGGCATGCTCTGCTGCCTCTAGTCAGGCACAGGGCAGGCTAGGTGGCTCCCCAGAGATTTATGTCGACATGTGAAACATTCCCAGGACAGGCTACAGCTGGGAAGAACTGGACTGGTTCAGTCAACACAGCCTGTCTAGAATCCTGGCCCTGTTTGGCGTTAGTTGGGAGACCTTGTTAGCTGGGTGACCTTGGACAGATGACCTAACCTCTCTGATGTTCAGCCCCCTCTAAACCCGTCTCCAAGTTTGAGATTCAAATGTGGAAATGCACACATAGCACCTTGAAGTGTCCCATTTCCCTGTCCACTCCTCTTTCCCACCATTGGCACTTGGCAAGCATTTGGTAAATGTGGATGTGTTAACTCAGTCGGCCACTGTTTATGGAGGTCTCACCCTGCTGCGTGTGCTTGGTGTGTTGGTGGGTGAGCAAAACGTATGCTCCCTGGGTTGGGATGTGACTCACAGTTGAGCCTGCGGCTGCTCCGCACAGGCCCTGGCTTTCAGAACCACAGACATGAAATGGAAGAGAGAGCAAAAGCCAGGGGCTTTGGTCCAGTGCGGTTTAAGGGCTGGGGAGGCAGAGGTCACACTCCAGGAGGAGTGTTGGAAGGTGAGCTCTGGACACTGTAGGGGTAGGGGGGCTGTCCCAGGGAGGGGACTGTAGGGCAAAAAGAGACCACATAGCTCCTGGACAGTGGGGCAGGAAGAATCGAGAAGCGTAAAATCAGGCGCTCTGGAAGCTCTGACGTCTCCACCTGTGGGGAGTGCTCCTGTTGTCCTCCGGCTTGGTGACATTGCAGACGTGAATATGTTCTGGGAGTCCTGAAGGGCTTTTGTTAACCCCCATCTCTGAGGTGCTGGGCGTCTGAGGCCCCAGTCCTCACCCTGATTTCCTCTCCTCAGTGTCGGCCAAGTGGTGAATATCAAGGCCAAGGTGAACCGGGCCTTCAATTCCAGCATGGAGGTGTGTGTGGCTGGCCCTGCTGGGGGTGGGATGGCCCTTCCGTTCCACTCAACCCAAGACCCCTCACACTGTAGGACCCTGACTAGAGTTCCAAAATGGCTGGCTGGGGGAGGAGGACTGGAAGGCTTTTTTTGCTAACATCCCATAGCGCAGGAGGGTACATGGAGGCCAGGAAGGGGAGCGGGCTTGTTCACAGCTTCCACTCCTGGCCAGGCACATTCAGTAGCAGGTGATGAAGGTTTGGGGAAGGCAGTGCTGTATCTGGTCGTGGTGCTGCAATGGGCGAGCCTGGGCTTTTGCCTGTTAGCTCACCTCAGTGGCCTCTGTCCCCACATCTGTACAATGGGCCCATGGCTCCTGCTCTCAGGGCACTGAAGGTTTAGTGGGAGGGTGGTGAGATGATGTACAGGCTTTGTGAGCAACTAAGGACTTCATTTCTTCTCCCAGGCTTTATTTAGGTTCTGCAACGTCACCTAGTAAGCCATTAATTCCTGAGAGCCTCAGAGTCTGGGGTAATAGGGTCCCGACCATGTTTCTAGGCAGCATACAGATGCCCAGTTACTCCCCAGGCATCCCACAAATCTGTCCTTTCAGTATTAACAATATTTAACCCTTTCAGTAATCCCTCCAGGGTAGCTGTGACCACGCCCATTCTATAGACGAGGAAACAGACTCAGAGAAGGCAAGTGAATTGCCCAAGGTTTTCCAGGGAACCAGGGGAAGGTCAGAACTAACTGGTGTTCCACACCTGATAGGTGACAGAGAAACTCCAGAGGCCCAGCCTGGTGGCTCTTTAGTCTCACCAAGCTGCAGGTCTTGATTACTCAGCGTCCTTTCCGCCCTCCCCCATGCCCCTCCCCCTCTCTAGGTGGGCATCCAGGTGGTCTCTGAGGACCTGTGCTCTGAGAAGCAGTGGAATGTGTGCAAGGCCCTGGCCACCTTTGTGGCCCACCGGGAGCTCTCCAAGGTAGACGGCTGTCCCAGCTGCCCAGTTATACCCGCCATACCCCCGAGTGGGACGATCCTACCCAGGTACCTCCTCCCCCCTTCCCCATCTCTTCCTGCACATTTAAACAGGAGGAATCTTCGGAACACTGTGTTCTGAACAGATCCCTCTATTTTCTGGGCCTTTGTCCAAGATATGCCCTGCTGGCTTACAATGGGGACAGGAAGGTGGGCACAGAGGAGAGAGATCTCTGGAGTGCTCCCTGCCCCCCCCCCCACCCCCCGACTCCCCAGCAGCCCAGACCCATTAGGTACCAGCTTCAGGCATCAGGCCACTGCGCTCTTAGGAAACTTGTCCCCCCTGTCTCTTGGCCAACAGGTGAAGCTGAAACAGGTCATACCGTTGACAGAGGAGGAGAAGACGGAGCACGGGGTGGCAGCCGAGCGCCGGCGCATGCGGCTGGTCTATGCAGACACCATCAAGGACCTCCTGAGCCACTGTGCCATCCAGGATGGTGAGTGTGGCTATGTGCACAATATGGGAGCTGGGTTGTATGCAGGAGGACAGCTGGTGTCCTCGAACTCCCTTTGAGTGGAAGGAGGAAGAGATCCCCTATGAACCTCTGTCCCTGGTGGCCTAAGGCTCCTCTGGCCTCCTTGTCCTCAAGATCTCTTCCAGGGAAAGCAGATGCTGGGGCCGTTGCCTCACAGCCCAGAAGCAGTGGAGATGGAGTGGGTGGGTCCTGTTGGAATCCCCATCACACACAATGCGTTCGGGCCTCTGGAGATGTGTGGGATGATAGTGTGGGAAGGTAGTGTTGGGCTAGGCTTTGAAGACATAGGAATTTTAAAAAGTGTCTGTGTACAGGTGTGTGTGTTTTCTTTTCCCCCCAAGAAAAATAAAAAGATGAGAAGCAAGGCTCCCTCCATCCCAGAGCCCAGGTCATCTCCCTTGAGGCAAAGACTGCTACCTGGTTTTGAATATCTTTCTAGGGGTGCTTCCTGTCACGTGTGTGTTATTTAGTCCCTGTTTTCAGCCCTAAGGGAACACATAGGACACATTGTTCTGTATGTTGATGTTGATTTTTTTCTTTATAAAAATCTCTCTTGATGATTGTTCTCTGCTGGTATGGGATGATCTGCCTTGGACTGGGTGGGATTTTGGCAGGTGGCGAGGTGAGGAAGGTGTTCTACAGAGGGGGAAGGCCCTGGGGGTAGAAACAGGAACCTCGGGTTCTTATCCATCTCCCTGGTTTATGTGAGGTCTTCCTTGATACTAAAGTCGAAAGGGCCAATTTCAGACAAATAAGAAGTTATTCAGCTGAGTCAAGTGACACATACCAGTAATCTTAGCATTGTGGAGACTGAGGCAGGAGGATCATGGTTAGAGGCCAGCCTTGACGACGTATGAGGTTCAAGGCCACCCTGGGATATGTAGTGAGATCCTGTCTCAAAACAAACAAACAAACAAAAACTGAGTGTTGGCTGAGCATAGTGGCTCATACTGGCAATTCCAACAGGGACATGACACAGGAAGGAGGCTGAGGCAGCAGGATCAGGAGTTCAAGACCAGCCTGCACCACATGAAACCCCATCTTATCCCCTCAACACCTCCCTCCCCTCAAAATACCTGCAGGAACACCTGGTGTGGTGACTTATTCCTGTAATTCTAGCACTTGGAAGGCTTGAGGCAGGAACATGCTATGAGTCTGTTCCTGAGCTCTATAATGAGTTTCAGGCAAGTCTGGGCTGCAGGTTAAGATCCCACTCAAAGACCCCAAGAGAGGATCTGTGAGATGGCTCGGCACATAAAGAAACTTGCTGTGCAAGCTTGACAACCCGGGTTCAACTCCCAGAACCTACTTAAAGGTGAAAGGAGAGAGCCGACCTCACAACATTGTCCTTTGGCTTTCAAATGCACTCTGTGGCAAAAAGCACCCCCCCACATCATCATCATCATCATCATCACAATAATAATAAATTAACAAAACCAAACCAAAAAAAGAGCCAGACAAGGTGTCACATCCCTATAATCTCAGCACTTAGGAGGCAGAGGCAGGAGGATCACCACAAGCTTAAGGTCAGCCTGTTCTATATATTGACTTCTAGCCCAGTCAGACCTACAAGGAGAGTCCTTGTCTAAAAAACAAATAAAACACACAGAGGTTCTGGTAGAGTATTTGACTAACATGCACATGGCCCTGTGTTCAAGTCCCACCACTGAAAACAACAAAACCCACAAACCGGGTAATTGTTCTTTGCCAAAATGGGGAGCAAGCATATGGAACTGGTGGACTGCATACTGAGCTCTGAGTTCCCTAAGCCCCGTTGTGCTGGGCTTGGGGGATGCTAGAGGAAACAGCTCTTCCAGTTGGTTTGGTCCTATGGATCTGTCCATTCCGTCACAACCCTCCCAAACCCCTGCTATCCCGACAGCCTGCCTCCAAGGGTCAGTCTAGATACCTCTGCCTGGCATCCAAGCCTCACAGGCTAATGATTGAGCCCCAGGTCCCGTGTCCTCCCCTAAGCTTACCCAAAGGCCTTGGCATCTGCCAGCACCTACTCCAATCTTGGGCTTACGTCATTCTCAGCTTCTGCTTCCCTGTCCTGCCTTTCCTGGGACATCCCACCAGGCCTTTCACCCAAGTGAAGGTTGTCTCTTTGCTGGGTGCTGTGCAGAGGACTCTCTCAGGATTCTGGAAACACGTGACAGCACCTTGCTTCAATTGGCCACGTTGGCATCAGCTTCCTGAACCCCTGAGGCCCTATTTGCTCATTAGCTTCTCCTGCCCTGGGTGTCTTAATGCCACTCGTGCAAGGAACAGGGACTGGTCAGGGTAGTAGGCAGCAAGGACCGTCCTGAAAGTGCAGTCACTGACTGTGAGCTGAGCACATGACAGCCATAACCATCCCTCACTGACACCCAGTCCCGTCCGGCTGAGGCTGACACTTGCTCCTTACAGATGTGTGTCTGAGATCCAGCAGTTTGCTTGATGTATCTGCGGTCACACAGCCTGTGTTGGGTGGGGCAGGGGTTGGCTCAGGTGTGCCTCATCTCACAGCCGTGCTCTGTCTGCTGCCCTGTGGCAGGCTTATGTCCCTCCCGCCATGCCCTTCCATTCTTTACCCAGGGCCATTCTAGGCCTTGTGATCTCTTGGTGGGGGTCCGTGTCTTGGGGCTGCCGCGGACAGTCTGTCCTTAGGGATCTTCTTATCTCCCTGCCTGACCAGATCTAGACAAGGATTGCAGCAATATGGTGCCAGCCGAGAGGACCCGAGTGGAGAGCGTGGAACTGGTGTTGCCTCCTCATGCCAACCATCAGGGCAATACCTTTGGGGGCCAGATCATGGCCTGGATGGAGAACGTGGCCACCATTGCAGCCAGGTGAGACAGCTGTTCTTTGTGTCTTCTCTGTTTCCTTCAGAGGTTGTTTCCTTGGCAAGAGAAATCCTTACTATGTCGGTACTCAAGGCTCCAGAAGCGTGGGTGTTCTGTGAGGATAACCCTGGTTTTCCACACCATTTCTGTGAGCTGGCCGGGCCTTCTCCCCACCCACGGCCACATTCCTTGTAGCCACTGGGAATCTCCCCACCGGACTGACTCGGAAGCCTCCCTGGGTCTGGCTCTGCCTGCACTCCAGCTGGTAACCGCTCCTTCAGGCTCTGCCCCCCTCCCACAACTTTTCCAGCCCCTCATTTTGCTCCTGTGTGACTTCCCACCATTCAGCACACTGCCCAGCCCCACCGTAACGCCACCATGGACCAGTCCCTCTTTCTAGTGGACTGGAGTTCATGGCACTCAGTTGTCAGGGATTGAAAAAGGTAGTTGTGATAACCAGTGGTCATTGTCCACACCCCTGTGCCTCCATGGCTTTGTCTTTGCTGTCCCCTCAGCCCTCCCCTAAGCCACCTTCCTCCACTAGGCTAGTTTCCATTCTTAGAGCCCAGCTCAGGACACCTCTTCTCTGAAGGTAAGTTCGAGATAGTGTCTAAGCAATAAGATTTGAGAAGCCTGCCTGTGAGTGTGAGACTTGAGAAATCCAGGACCTGGATGACCAGGGGAGGCTTCCTGGTGGAGGAGCACCTCACTGGGGTCTCTAGTGACAAGAAGCTTTTCAGGAGGGGTGGGCCTCGAGGTCTCAGGGGACATAGACACTGAGGCAAATGCCAAGGGAAGTAGGGGAAGGGGCTTGCCTCAGGTCATACTCTCGCTTGCTTTCTTCTGGCCTCAAATTCAGCTCCTTTCTAGCCCTGCACCGTGGCGTCAGCATGCTAAGCTGGAAGCAGCTTTAGTGCTGTGCACGGAGCAGAATCATCCCTGGACTGGGGCAGAGGACCAGGTCCAGGATGGGTTAGGGGCTAAGGACTGGAGAAGGCTAGCCCAAGCACCCTGATGCAGTATCGACCACGTCTTCTGTCTCTCTCCCTCTTCTTCCTCCCAGCCGGCTCTGTCATGCCCACCCTACACTCAAGGCCATTGAGATGTTCCATTTCCGAGGCCCGTCACAGGTGGGGGACCGTCTGGTGCTCAAGGCCATCGTAAATAACGCCTTCAAGCATAGGTGAGGGGTCGGGACGGGTGGAACTGGGCCACGAAGCATCGAGGGTTCTTCCTGATGCTAGAAACTACCTAATGCAGACCTGCCAAGCCTTTCCCCAGCAGACGAGGTCTGAATTGCTGAGTGTTCACATGGCCCAAATTTAGCTAGTATTCCCTCTTCTGGAATGGTCTATGACTCCCATTGTTGTCCAATGGCGGGATTGGGGTTTTCCATAGGTGCTGTGCCTCCCGCCAGCTGGGAAGCTGCCCTGTGCTTGTGTGCCCCATCTCCCTTTGGCTTGGCTGGATGACCGAGATCTGGGGGTGCACAGGTCACAGGGTCTCTTCTTGCTCACGTTTCCCCGATCCTTTCCTACCCATGTCCTAAAACAGGTATTCTAACCTCTCACCCTGGAATGAGTTCTGATGTCTAGTCTCACCACAGCTGGCTTTAAGTAAAGGCTATTTCTGAGAACTTGTGTGCTCATCAAGGGTGAGCGATCTGGAGCAGGGCAGCCTGGGTTCAAGTTTTTCTCCACTGCTCACAGGCTGTGCGACTTTGACCAAGTTATTTAACACCTCTTTCTCCGCATCCCCAGGGCTGGTAGTATAAGGTTGACCTTCAGCTCATGTCAGTCCTCCTGCCTTGGCATCCCTAGTACTGACATTACTAGCACACACCAGCATGCCTAGCTTCCTTTGTAATTTTCAATGACTTAATTTTTAAGAAATTACATTTATTTATTTTTAGTGGTGTGTGTGTGTGTGTGTGTGTGTGTGTGTGTGTGTGTGTGTGTGTGTGTGATACCTGAGCGTGCCCATGTGGAAGTCAGAAGACAATTTGTGGGAATCAGTTTTCTATCTTTGACTATGTAGGTCCCTGGGATCAAACTTGGGTCATCAGACTTAGCGGCAAACTCCTTTCCTGCTGAGCCATCTCACCTGCCCCGTGGTGACTTTGGGGTGTCTTTGTTTTCTTGCTTTGTTGACTTCCTGGGCTGTTAGCCTGAGGTCTGGCTGGGCAGGTTCATTCATCACTGTGTCGCACACACTAGGTGCTCTGTAAGATTACCGAAGAGGACATGCATGGTTCTGAAGGCCAGTGGGATTTGGGTCCGGTTGCTGGAAGAACTGCAGGAGAGTGTGTACACACTTTATGTGCAACAGCCTGCCTGTGTGTGTACTTGTGTGTTAGTGTGTGATGTGGAAAGGCGTGGTTTGGGGAAGGTCTGTTGAACTTGACTCCATCCTTCTCTTGACCTTAGCATGGAGGTGGGCGTGTGTGTGGAAGCTTATCGCCAGGAGGCCGAGACCCAGCGACGGCATATCAACAGTGCCTTCATGACCTTTGTGGTCCTGGACAAAGATGACCAGCCTCAGAAGCTGCCTTGGATTCGTCCCCAGCCTGGGGTAAGTGCCCTATCCCCAAATTCCCTCACTTTGTCACTCTGTGTGTGACAGTCCCATCCCTGGCTCTTGACTGAGGTACAACCAGATCCGAGTGTCCTGGTCATGACTCAGGGACTCCCCTATGAAACTGGGTACCTGCTCTGCCTCCCAAAACTGGAACATACCGTGGGGTCTGACTGATGTCGGGGGATCATGGACCTGAACAGCCCATGGGTTGCAGAGACCCCTGGCTTGGGAGCCCTAGGCTGATAGGGCCTCACTTCTGACACATTCTTGGACACATATTTCTGTGAGTTTCAGTCCTTATCTGTGTGGTTAGTGTTCTGCAACTTCTGCCTGCCAAGATGCGGCTGTGGGGAAGCCACTGCCTGCAAAGCCTTGCAGCCCTTGAGAAATTGTGATGTCAGCATTATGGGGACAGGGGCAAGGGCACATGGATGTCTGGGTTCTGTGTCTGTGGCTTGTTGGAGGCCAGTTGCTGTCTTTGTGGTTTTGAGTTGTGGGAAGGCTGTAGAGGAGGTGAGTTCTGAAGTTGGTCTTGTGAGTTCTGATCCCGGCTCCACCCCATACTCCTATGACCTTGGGAACCATTCAATCCTCTGAGCCTCAGTTTCCTCCTGTATAAACTGAGAATCACAGATTATAAACTTAGGAATGTAGAACAGAAAGCAGGTGTGCTCTCAAGCAGAGCCCTCAAGAGGGCCTCGTGAGTGCTCAGTGAATGTGGCTCTGGGTACCACTGTGAGGTCTTTTCACGTCTCTTCTACATTGGGGAAAACTGAGGCACAGAAGAGGGCCAGGGTACCCAAGGTCACCAAGGGCTCCATGGGGAGCTAAACTACAGCTTGGGGCCCTGGCACTTTCCTAGGAAGGACGTTTTGACCCCTACTGCCCTAGCAAGATCTAGGCTTCTCTATAGACTGCAGGGTCCTCTGGCCCCGGAGGACAGGGATGGCAGAGCTATGGGCTAGCTGGGCATCCCACCTATATCACAATCTGTCCCTGCTTCCTTCCTAGGAGGGAGAACGGCGATACCGAGAGGCCAGTGCCAGGAAGAAGATCCGCCTGGACAGGCGAGTGGGGCTGGGCAAGGGGAGGGACGTGCTTCAGCGTCTTACTGCTCTTCCATCCACCAGGACACTGAGGACAGAGAGTTGGGTCTCTTGTCTTTGGGACACACAGTTGAGTGAGATCTACTGTTGGTCCTGGCTTGATCTGGGGGATTTTAAATCTTGTTTTTATCCCATTGAGTCTGAAGCCCGTTTGGCCTGTTTGATGAAAGGGTCAAGTCTCAGCACTTGGTGGGGATGAGGTAGAGGATTGCCACAAGGTCAGCCTGGGCTACATAGAGAGATCTGTCTCAACCAAAGCAAATGAACTAAAACAAAGCCCAGAGAGGCTTAGAGCACAGACCCAGTGGCTCAAACCATGTAACCTGGTAAATCTGAGTCCACTGTAAAGTACCTTATAAAACAGTAGAGTGGGGTGGAAAGATGGCTCAGTGGTTAAGAGCACTGGCTGCTCTTCCAGAGGACCTGAGTTCAACCCCCAGCACCTACATGGCAGCTCACAACTGTCTGTAACTCCTGTTCCATGGGGATCCAATGCCCTCATACAGACATACATGCAGGCAAATCACCTGCATATGAAATAAAAATAAAGAAATCATAAAAAAGTTTAAGCAACAACAACCTGTAGAGTGTTGTAGATGCATCCAGACGCACACACTGTATTAATAAGAAAAGCCTGCATATCTGGGACATTTATCACATGCTAAGCCCCATGCTCCTTGCAAAGCCCCTCAGAGGCAGAGATGGCATGGATTCCATTCCAAAGAGAATACTGAGGCGTGGGTGAAGGGGATCCTGAGCCTGGTCCTTTTTCCCTTGCCGGTCCCCTTGGAACTGCCTAGGGTGCTAGCTGAACTCATGTGTTCCCCGATGCTGTTTTCTGGGTGTCGGTGTACCCCGTCGCCCTGCCAGGGAGAGTCTTCAACCTCACTGGGCTCAGCACGGGCCTGACATGCAGTAGGCAATGATATTTGCTAAGAACAGTGGACTCGGAGAGACCCAGGCTGTCCTCTTCCCTCTCAGGAAGTACCTTGTGTCCTGTAAGCAGGCGGAAGTGGCCCTGTCTGTCCCCTGGGATCCTAGCAACCAGGTAAAGCCCTTTGTTTCAAAGCCCACAGGGCCCCTTTCCTTTCCTTTGGCCAGAGTGGTTTTGGAGGGACAGTCACAGGTCTGGGACCATGGGAAACGCTTTGCTTTGTCCTGATTGCGGTTCACACACGACGTGTGTGTGTCCCCTGTTTTATAAGAGGGAGTGGAGGCTCTGGTTGTGGCTGCTCAGGGCTGTGTGAAGGGCTTGAAGGAGCCTGGATCCCTTTCCCCACATCAGCACAGCCCTACCCAGGGACCCCTGGGGCGGGAGGAGGAAGCATTGGTTGGTGTGCTCTTCCCAGGTGTACCTGAGCTATTACAACGTGTCCTCTCTGAAGACACTTATGGCCAAGGACAACTGGGTGCTGTCTGTGGAGAACCGTGAGGTAACTGATCCACCTGCCACCTTCCTCTCCCTTACAAGTGGCCAAGGTTGGCTGGTGGCAAGCATCAGATTGGGATCTTCAAAGAGCAATTCAGGGGGGTCATGAAGCCCCTTTCGTCCTGCCTGCCACTGTTTACCCACCCTTGAGTCCATGGCTTTGCGCAGCCCTTTCCTTCCCACTCTCCCTTGGCACAGCAGGTCTCTGCAGGGATGGGGCAGTGGGCAGTGTGAGCTCTGTCTCTCTTGCCTGTCTCTTGACAAGTCACATCCCTACCTGTAACATTAGGGAATAGGATGAAGCCAGGCTCTGGAGACCTGTTGCCTCAGTGGCTGCTTTTTCCTTTCTTTTTTAAAGTTATTTCTCTATTTTGAGGTGTATGGGTGTTTAAGCTGTATGTGTGTCTGTGCACAACATGTATGCCGAGGGGAAGCCAGACGAGGGTGTCACATCCCCTGGGACGGGAATTACAGACTGCGGTGGGCTTATAAATTGCCGTGTGGGTGCTGGGAACCAAACCCAGGTCCTCTGGAAGAAAAGCCAGTGCTTTTAACCTTTGAGCCATCTCTCTAGCCCCGATTACTGCTTCTTAAAGAGGTGTTTTCTGTCTGTCCGCATCGAGCTGTCAGAGGTCCATTTTCACGGGGTTGTGACTAAGTCTCAGAGATGTTCAAGCACTTCTCCAGGCAGTGGCAGCCCTGACTTCTAGGAGACCTCGTCCACCAGCAGCATAGTCCGGGGCTGTGGTACAAGAATGAGGCCACCCTCTGTGCTATGCAGGTCCGCCTGTACATCCTGGAGGAGGAGTTCCTGTCCTTTCACTTGGAGATGGTGGTGCACGTGGACGCTGCCCAAGTCTTTACACTGCTCTCGGACCTGCGCCGGAGGCCAGAGTGGGACAAGCATTACCGGTGAGGGGCCAGTGCTAGGCGAAAGTGGGGGGAAGGATTGCCTGCTGATGCTAAGCATCCCCCATGATGCTTTGTTCCATGGCCTTCTGCAGGGATGGGTCTGACCATAGGGTATAGTTATATGTCAGGTGGCAGTCAAAGTCATGGGCATGTTGAGGCCCTAGGGAAGGGACTGAGCCTGGAATTAGATATGGAGGCCTGAGTTTAAGTCCTGTATCTATTCTAAATGGCTATGCAACATTGGTCAGGTCATTTCTTTTCTGGGTCTCTGTTTTCCCCTCTTCTTAAAAAGTTTTATTTATAGCTCGGCGGTGATGGTGCATACCTTTAATCCCAGCACTTGGAAGGCAGAGGCAGGCTGATCTCTGTGAGTTCGAGGCCAGCCTGGTCTACAGAGTGAGTTCCAGGACAGACTCCAAAGCTACACAGAGAAACCCTGTCTCGAAAAAAAAAAAAAAGTTTTATTTATTCATTTTATGAGGATGGGTGTTTTGTTTTTTGTTTTTCAAGACAAGGTTTCTGTGTAATCCTGGCTGGTCCTGGAACTCACTCTGTAGACCAGGTTGGCCTCGAACTCAGAGATCCACCTGCCTCTGCCCAAGTACTGGCATTAAACATGTGCACCACCATCGCCCATTGGGTAGGGTATTTTGCCTGCATATTTGTCTGTGTGCCACATGTGTGTCTGGGGCCCAAGGGGGCTGGAAGAAAGCATTAGATTCTCTGGGACTGGAATTACAGATGGTTGTGAGGTACTATGTGGGTGCTGGGAATCGAACCCAGGTCCTCTGAAAAGGCAGTCAGTGTTCTTAACCACTGAGACATCTCCCCAGCTCCTACGTTTTATTTTAATTAATTGATTAATTAAGGTTTTTTGAGACAAGGTTTCTCTGTGTAGCTTTGCGTCTTTCCTGGAACTCACTCCATAACTCACAGAGATCCACCTGGCTCTACCTACCAAGTGCTGGGATTAAAGGCATGCGTCACCACTGCCCGGCTGAGCTCCTACATTTTAAAAAATGGCATTTATTTGTGTGTGTGTGTGTGTGTGTGTGTGTGTGTGTGTGTGTGTGTGTGTGTGTGTGTGTAGGTCAGAAGACAACTCTTAGGTCCTGGGGATTGAACTCAGATCAGCAGCTTACTGGCAAAGTGCCTTACCTTCTGAGCCAACTTATGGGGTTGGAAAAGTTAACGTTTAAAGTGGCGTTTGTTCAAGATCCTCAAAGTCATCTTCTGTTCTGCCGATGCCGTGACTCACTAAGCCCGTCCTGCATGTGCTTCCCTAGGAGGCTGGATGGACTTGGGAACTCAAGAGGGTCTCAGCAGCGGCTGACTTTCCACGACGGGCTGCTCCGTCTTTCTGAGTCTGCCCTCAGCAGACAGCTTGTAGCTTCTCTGGGCTTCTCATCTATGTTTTCTTCGAAGCCATGGTTGTGCTGGGCTCGGTGGATAAAGCACTTGCCCACGAGCATGAGAACTTGTATTTGAACTTCCAGGAGCCATGTAAAGCTGGGCATGCCATTCATGTTCGCAACCCCAGTACTTCTTCTTCCAGATGTGAGACAGAGACAGGAGACTCCCTGGAACTTCCAGGGCCAGTTAGCCAGGCACACACAGGTGAATAGCAATGACCAATACTTGAGGCTGTTGATGTTCACAATGCACCATTAAGTGAATACTTGTACTCACACTCATACTTATGTGTGCATGTGCACATACACAAACGTACACAGAGCAAGAGCAAGAGACAGAATAAGTGAGTGAGAGTGAGAGAAAGAAGAAGAGGAGGAAGAGGGAGAGAGAAAGAGAGAGAGAGAGAGAGAGAGAGAGAGAGAGAGAGAGAGAGAGAGAGAGAGAGAGAGAGAGAACGAACTGTGCCACTTTAAAATGCTGTGCCTGGGTCACCCGGGCCTGCTGGTGTGTTCTAGAAAGCTGAGAGGTGGTGGGTGGTGGGTGGTGGCTAGGTAAAGGAGCTGGAGAAGGTGAGCTGGTACGGACCAGCTCAAGCTTCCCTGAGGGTATGAGTGAGCCCCAGCACACTTCTCTAGCCTGGCACAGCCAGCCTGCTTCCAAGCCAGCACTGAGTGCAGCAGAGGATAGGAGGGAAGGGGAGGGGGGAGGGGGGAGGTGAGGAATGTGGTCCTGTGTCCTCACGTGACTGTCCTTGTGTGTCTGGGTACCAGTCAATCTATGGTCGTATACCTGGACATATATGTGGGTGTGCCTGGGCTTGTTATGTCTCTGCCACCAGCCAGGCTGAACACCCCAGCCCTGGTTTCTCATGAGCTGTCACCCAGGGTGGGTTATTCCTCAGCCTCAGTCCCTCTCTTTAGTGAGGATACTGAGATGCCCACAGCATAGGGGTGCTGTGGAGGGAGACCGAGTGAGATCTCAGTTGTACAGCACCCGGCGCACATTGGGGACTCACCAGATAGTACATACAACTACCAGATCCTTTAAGAGCTCCCTGGGGTGTGTGCACCCACGGTCAGAGCTGTATGTTCAGTGGCGTCTACCTGTGTGCCTGTGCACGTGTGCCCATGTGTGAGCATATGCTGAGAGGTAGCCTTTGTGTTCCTGTGCCTATACGTGTCTGAGTTTCTTCTTCCTGTTGTTCTGATAAAATACCCTGACCAAAGCAACTTAAGAGAGAACGGGTTTATTCTGCCTCATGGTTCAAGGTACAGTCCATTATGGCGGGGAAGCCAAAGTAGCAGACGCTTGGCACAGTTGTTCATACTGCATCCACAATACCAAAACAGAGCGGGACCCGTGCACGCTGGCGCTCAGCTCACTTTCTCCGTTTTATGACAAGGGAGTGGCGCGACCCACAGTTGAGATGGGTCTTCCTACAGCAATTAATACAATCAAGAGGCTTCTCCTACAGGCATGAGTGGAGGTCCACCTCCCAGGTGATTCTAGATTCTATCAAGTTGTCAACCCACACTTTCAGTTCGTATGCGTGTATTTGCTTGAGTACACGTCTGTGTGCCTATGTGTTTGCGTGTGTCTACATATACCTGTGTATTCCTCTGTATATGCATACGTGTACATGTACCTGTATACCCGCCCTGGTGTGCATGACTATGTGTCTGTTGTGTGCATGTGTGTGTGTGCACACATGCATGGGCACTTGCATATACTCATGCATGCATGCATCCTAGAGGGCCTCCATCCTTCCTTCTTCTGGCTCTGCTGAGCTGTGTAGAGGCGAGGAACCCATTCCAGGGCATCTCAGAAGGCTACAACCTGCGGGGTCCTGGCAGATCCATTCTCCCATTGAGAGCTGCCATGGCTCCCAGGTCCTGACTCCAGCCTCCCAACAGGAGTGTGGAGCTAGTGCAGCAGGTGGATGAGGATGACGCCATCTACCACGTCGTCAGCCCTGCCCTGAGTGGTAATACCAAGCCCCAAGACTTTGTGATCCTGGCCTCCAGGCGGAAGCCTTGTGACAATGGGTGAGTGTCTGCTTTCTGAGGGGTGCAGTAGGGGTGGGGAGACCTCATCTCCCTCTTCAGGAGGAGCAGCAACTTGCAGTCAGAGCTCTGCTGCCCACTGGTGGTTGGACTCAGAACCCACCAGCAGTTTGTAGGCTGCCAGGGGTGGTGGTGTGGGGGTGTGGGGTTCACTGTGGTAGCAAGGGCCTATTCTGCTCCTGAAAAGCAAGGCTGTTCGTGGTGCTTGCGGCTGAGGGTGCTGCACTTAAGGCTGCAAACAGGGTACCTTTCACATGGCTATCCCTTAGCCTCTGCCCCTGGAAGCTTGTGACTGGTACCTGCAGCATGGGTACAGCCAGGATAGACTGCATCTCTTTTTCTGGAGACAAGGACCAGAAGAATGAAAACCCAAGGCACACAGAGCCATGGGGACACATGAGGCCTGAACCTCGTGCTGCTAACTCAGATGGCCCTTCTGTACAGCTGGCCCTGAGGGAATAAATCCAGGCCTGGGAAAAAGACAGGGTCCCCACCTTCTCCTGTGGATGATCTCTGACTCCTTCTCACTCTGACTCCCCTCCAGGGACCCCTACGTCATTGCACTGAGGTCAGTCACACTGCCCACACACCCTGAGACACCGGAGTATCAACGTGGAGAGACTCTTTGCTCAGGCTTCTGTTTGTGGCGTGAGGGGGACCAGTTGACTAAGGTGAGACCTGGTGTCCCTTCTACCCTTTCACCTATGGGTGAACTGAACTGTTGGGCTGGGACCCTTCCAGACCTGGGCCCCCTCTATTATGAGAGCCTTCTAGCTCTCCCAGCCTGGAGAAGTCAGAGCATCATCGGGGATGGAAAAGAAGTCATCTTCGAGATTTAGTCAGTATAACTAGTGAGCAGCCGCTGCTGGGGCTTAGAAAAAGCTCTGGAAAGCCCAGCTCTGATCTAAAATTTTGTCTCATTGCTTATTTATTGTGTCCTTCTTCTTGTCTGGGAGGGCTTTATAGGCCCTCGGAGCCACATATGTGGCCTATAAAGCCCAGCAGGGTAGTCAGTGTTAATTGAAAAGGTAGGGAGGAGGTGGGGGCGGGGGGGCTGCACCCCGCCCTCAGCTTGCAGTTTCTCTTGCAGCCTAGATTGGCTCTGAGCCTTGCCCAGGAGCTGACTCGGCCAGCGCTGCTAAGGATCTATGCAGAGCTAGTCCGAAGCTTATGTCTACCATGTTTCTGTGACCCCAGCACACTGACAGCAAGTGGATTCAGTGATAGGCTTTGGAGACTCAGTCCCTGTCCCCTGGGGTCACCTGGCCTGCAGGGAGGTACACAATGATCTTATGGTGGGTTGTGATAGGGCAGCCAGGGTTGAAGTACCCCAAGTGTCTGGGAACCTGTCACAGGAGGTCATACTGCCAGTCAGGTTTTCTAACTGACCTCCAAGACCCAGGATTGTACTTGTTGCCTCCTTGGAAGGCAAGCAAGACTGACCGCCCACCTGCCTCCTGCTCAGAAGTCCCTGAGCCTCTCCCCATTATGCCTCCCTGAGCGTGGCTTCCTGCCCTGCAGGTTTCTTACTACAACCAGGCCACCCCCGGCTTTCTCAACTATGTGACCACCAATGTGGCCGGCCTGTCCACGGAGTTCTACAATACTTTCAAGGCTTGTGAGAGTTTCCTGTTGGACAACCGGAATGACCTGGCCCCCAGCCTCCAGACCCTCTAGGCACCACCCCACCCTGCCCCAGGTCTTACACAGTGCGTGGAGCAAAGCAGAGGCATTTATTCACCCTGACTCCCCAGGGAAGCCTTCCACATTAGATGGTCCAGTCCTACTGGGTGGTCAGTTCCTGCTCACATCTGCCAGCAAGTCTTCTCGGCACTCCTCGGGTATCCTGTAATAGACTCGGGTCCTGTCCATGGCCCTGGCCACCCACAAGCCAGCCCACACATCTGCACAGCTGTTCCCAGGCTTGCTGTGGTGTACAGTCAGAGTGACTTGAGGGGAGGCGGCCAGTAGCCTGGCCACAGTTTTGGCTGTGCTCCGGCCCAGTGGCCCGGCCTGCAGCTGGAAGGACACAGGTTGCCGGAGTCCCTGACACAGCTCCAGCATATCTGTGACCATCTGCTCCTGATAGCCACTGCCCAGCACCTCTTCAGGCCAGCCTGGTGCCACGGTCACATGGGGGAATATTTCAGCCACAGCTGTAAGCAGCTCTCTGCCGGCCACATGGCCAGGGACCACAAAATTACCATGTGAGATTGTGGCCCCCACCCACACAGGCCAGGGCAGCTGGCCAAGGGTGGAGAGGTGTGCCAGCGTGGCCAGGGATGGCCGGAGAGCTGCAGGATCCACTATGTTCACGTGGATGCCCCAGCGCCTGGGGTGAACAGCCAGCTGCCGCAGACAAGACTCCAGCGTCGGAACGGAACCACCTGGGGCATGCAGGATGGGCACAGGGGTCCCAGCTTCCGGTTCCTGCAGGCCAATATCCAGCAGGATCATGCCTTCTCTGTCTGGAAGAGGCAACAGTGTTTGGAGTACCTGTCATTAGTGTCTCTTGGTAAAGGGGCAGTGGAGGTCGCGGGGACAGACAAGGGGGAACTGGTGCCAGCCATGCTTGAATCTGCCAGCCCCATCCTGGGCTCCAAATGCTGTGACTGATGACTCTCAGGCAGACATGACAAATTGCCGGCTCAGTTCTTGGCCTTCTTAGGGACTCAGAGCTGGGTCACCACCCACTCCAGTCCCAGTGTGGCTGGGGACTCAAGGCTGCTGCTGGTCTAAGGCCAGGAGTTCCTGCTCTTGATGTTATTCCTCCCACTTTGTACCCAGTGCGTGGCGTATTGTGTTGCCATGGTAACAGGGAACCAAGTTACCCACCCAAGCAAATGACAGGCCTGTGGGTTGGTTAGCCAGGAGCTCTGGGGCTGCAGGCAGACTCACCAGGGACAGTAACGGCTGCTGTTCTCCCGCTGCCGTTCACTTCTAGAACCAGCCACTCTACCTCTAGACCATCACCCCTGGGTGGCTGGAGAAGAGGGATCAGGCTGCCACCTGTGTAGTAGTTTCGCTTCCGGGTGGTGTTCACTGTGGGACCCAAGATTGCCAAGGTGAAAGGACCACTCTCCATGGTTACGCTCTCCTGCATCCTAAACCCTGTAACTGTCAGTTCCCTCTTGGATGGACTCGAAGTCATTGTCTCAAGGTCTGACAACCAGTAAACAGAGTTTACTGGGCCAGAAACCAAGTGGAGCTAGAGCTGGAGGACCCCAAAGCTGGTCTTCCCCGCTTCCCGGACATGGCTCCCTCCGTAGGAGAGGCATCTGATGTGACCCCTTGGGATGGCTTGAGGGTAGGTGCCCCTAGACTCAGGGTTTGCATGGTGGCATCTGGCTCATGAACTAGCGGGCACAGAAGAGGGCTGGGCTCTGAAACACTAGTACCATCCAAGATGAGTGGTGCCGTGGAAACAAGGGGCGGGTTGAATGGGCTAGGTTCCCATCAAGCTGTACTTCTGTAAATTCCGTGTAGTTTTGGACCTCCATTTCCCTGTCGACCAGACTCCTGCTCTGTGGATAGTTGGAGCCCGGATAGCCTACTATCCCAGGGTCAGAAGACAAGTTCTCAGAATGGTTCCTGTCTCCTGTTCCACCCAGAATTTCCCCCTTCTAGACCTCCCTACCTCTGCTCCCATGCCCAGCCAAGGCTGCCCTGAGCAGAACCCAGCCTACACCTCCCCTTCTGGGTCCCCTTCCTACGGGCCAGCTGCTTGAACTGCGACAAGACAGGCTCAAAGAGGTCATAGTAGATTTGGTGGGTGGCACTGTTGTCCCGGATGAAGAGGAGATCGTCTACCGACACAGGATCCGAAGCACCCTGCCACAGTGTCAGGCTGTACCTAGGACCAGAGAGCTGACTCAGTACCCACCCTGGGCCTAGAAAGACCCTCGGCTCTACTCCTATGTTCAGAACTGAATGCCAGCTGAGCCCAGGCGTGGAACATCTGTCCTCCAGCTTCCCACTAGCCTCTTGAGTGTCATCCCTTCCAGGGGATGACGGGAAGCAGGAGTTCAGGGGGTGGGAGGATGTGCACACTTGGGGTGTCTATTCCTGAGTTACCCACTAATGGAAGCAGTGAACTGTTTTGTCACCAGAGGAGTACGAGCCAGAGGCAGGGCACTGTGGGAGGTTATTTTGGCCACTGGGGCCAGGACGAGATGATCTTTAGGACCCCTCCTGCCATGCTCATCTTGGATCAGAGCCCAGGATATAGGTTTGGAACCAGCAGAGGGGGTTTCACCTCTCGGATTGGCCCAGGAGCCAGCTGAAGTGGGGCCAGGCAGCCCGAGCCATGAAAGCCCGAACCGGGAAGGTGACTCTCTGGGGCAGCGCTCCCACCAGCTCCTGCATTTTCTCCACCATGGCTTGGGTGTATGTGCTGTTCGGCAACTGAGGCACATAAAGAGTGGTGAAGCCCGGAGAAATGGTGACCTCTGGGTACTTCTCCTGGACAAGCGCCAGGAACCTGCAGAGAACAGAGAGATGCCTCTTTGTAGACCACTTGGGTCCCTCCTTGTAGGCTCTTGTCACAGGGATAGGGGGCAGTCAGGCCTCTTGAGTTTGTGCTTGGAGGTTGGCGACAGAGCTCTAAAGAACAGCAGTGGTTTGCACATGCTCCTGCTGGTACCACCACCCTGTGCAGTCAGGGAGGTCTGGGCTCACGCCCCTACTCTGCCTCTGGTGGTCACCTCAGCCTTTGATTCTCAAAGAGACAGTGACTGTCTGCCAGGGCAGAGCCTTTGAACATCCCCATGTGGACGGCAGGGCTTAAGTGAGACTTTAAGGTGCGCAGATCTGCAACCTGCCAGTGGGCTTCAAGTCTCCAAAGTTTCAGATTCCTAATTTTTTTTTTTTTTTTTTTTTTTGGTTTTTTGAGACAGGGTTTCTCTGTGAAGCTTTGGGCCTTTCCTGGAACTCACTTGGTAGCCCAGGCTGGCCTCGAACTCACAGAGATCTGCCTGGTTCTGCTTCCCAAGTGCTGGGATTAAAGGCGTGCGCCACCACCGCCTGGCCTAAATATTTTTTATATGGGCCAAGCATGATGGCACATGCCTATAATCTCAGCACTTGGGAGGCAGAGGCAGGAGGATCAGGACTTCCTTCATTTCTAGCTACATAGTGAGTGCAGTGCTAGCCTGGGCTATATGAAACTGTCTGAAAGCAATACATTAAAAGGAACTATTTGAATCTTGTTCTGATGCAGATTTTAGTAGGGAAGTAATGTCACCTACTGCCCAGTCTCCAGGGTACCCTGAGGAGAGAAGCCACGTTTGTCTTGGGCCCTAGACTACATTTTTAAAATTGTTTTCTTCAAATATATCTCATTTTGAGAACCACAGTAAATATTGGGTGGGTGGCTGGACAGATGGAGGGAGAGGGGCCTGCAGACCACAAAGCTGGGGGAGGGAGAGGCCTGTGGGAACCTTTGCTCTGCCATTTTGTAGACTTAGACAGGCCATTTAACCTCTCAAAGGTATTTCTACACTTACAAAATGAAGATGACTAGTTGCTACCTCATTCTCCTAAGAGTTCAGCTGTATTCTGCAAGTAAAGTGCTTGAAACAGTGCCTGGGGCACAATAAACATGCAGCAGCATGCTTCTGTCATTGTGGGTTTTCACATTTGAAAAATGGGGAGAAAAATACTCCTCCCTGATTAGGGGCTGGATTTCCTAGAGGACTGTGGAGGGAGCCATCTCTTTATAACTTGTAGCAGGCCAAGTCCTGTGCATGTCACCGGGGAGACAGAAAGGCCATGGCCGTCTGCTCCCTCAGAGTCCACAATGGAGTGTGTGGGGGGGAACGACACGGGACGGTGGGGGGGAGGGGGACAGGACACAAACATGTAGGTCAGCAGAAACAGTCCAGTGGAACCAGGGCCGAGGGGCCCAGGGGAAGTTCGTCAGGAACCTGGGGTGCTAGAGACGCTTCTGGAGGTGGCAGGAAAAGACTCATTAGAGAAAAGAAAACTAACCATGCTGGTACACACCAGGTATAGCAGAGAGGAGACCCGAGGGTTGGAACTTCAAGGCTAGCCTGAGCTATATGCAGAGTCCAAGGCTGTTCAGGCCTACGTGAGAACTTGTCTCATCCTCTCCCCGCCACAAAAAAAGGTTAAAAAAAAAAGAAAGAAAGAAAAAAAAATAAAAAAAACAAGTTATTGTGGCCCATAACTGTAGCCCTGGTACCAGGAGCCCCACAAGTATGAGGCAGCCTGGCCCATATAATGGGTTCCAGTCCAGCAAAGACTGCTTAGAGGGACCGTGTCTTAAAAACACACAAAGGAGCAGGCATCCAAGACAAAAGGGAACAGTGTATGCGCATGCTCAGAGGTGACTGGAGAGATGGTTCAGCAGGTAAAGGTGCTTGCCACCAAGACAGATGACCTGAGTTCAAGCCCCAGAACCCATGTGGTGAAGAGAAAACCAACTCTTGAAAGTCGTCCTGTGACGTCCAGATGTGCACTGCGGCTTCCCCACAGGCATAAACACACAAACACAGAGGAAAAGGCTCAGAGCTGAGGTCTCATGGTGGGGCCGACAAACACAAAGTCCCCCCGGTTCCCCTCTCATGCTCACTGCTGGCAGAAGAGGGCTGGACCCAGCTGGCCAGAGGGTGAACACTCACTGTGTAGCGTTGATCTCAACCGAGAGAGGCACATTGGGGCCCCTCAGGATGTCAGCATTGATCCACACCGGTCTCCGAATCCTGCCAGCCTCAGTCAGCTGCCGGAGGAGGTCCAGGGAGGGCCCCACAGCCTTGAGGCTCTTGAAGTCCAGTTTGATGCCTGCAGGAAAGGGGCAAGGGCTGGGGAACCGGAAGTCAACTTGCTGGGTAGGAAGAGCTGGTAAGGGTGGGGCAGGTCTTGGGAGAGAAAGGGAAGATGGGGGGCAGATGATGGTGGGGTGCAGGGATAGTTTTCAGACAGGGAGAGCCAACACTTGAGAAGAAGGGGTCTCCTCTCCATCCCAGGTAGGAGGAAGCAAAAGCCAGCCGAAGGCCTGGGCTGGTTCAGGGCAACTCGGGCATGAGCAGAGTCTGAGACCTGAACCCCAACAGCCTGTGGGGGGTCCACTAGGCCTCCAGGAAGAGACATTGAGTAGAGAGGTTAACTAGATAGAAAAGGGACCCAGAGTGAATGACTGCCCATCTTAACTGTGGAGACAAGAGACGAGACTTCCAAGTTAAGAGATGTTGAAGGCCAAGCCAGGACGAGAGGAGCCATGAGAGTGAAAGAAGAGAAACCACAGGTGTGTGTGGCAGTTAGATGAGGCTGTCTGAGGAAGGCAGTCCGTGGGAGAAATGATGTGGTTGTGACTGGAGATAGAGTGGGCAGGTGCAGCTGCCGAGTGCATGGTGGGGGATGAGGGGGATGGGGGAGGTGAGGGGGATGAGGGAGATGAGGAGGATGAGGGGGATGAGGGGGATGAGGGGGATGGGGGATGAGGGGGTTGGGGGAGATGAGAGGGATGGGGGAGGTGAGGGGGGTGAGGGGATGAGGGGGATGAGGGGGATGGGGGGATGAGGGGGATGGGGGATGAGGGAGATGAGGGGGATGAGGGGGATGGGGGAGGTGAGGGGTATGAGGGAGAAGGTGGTGCTAGGGGGAGACCTAGATCCTGACTGGAAAGGGGAGTTGCGGGGAGAGAGTTTGGCTTTGAACCCATCACATCCAGTTCTGGGGACCCACGGGGACACCATGACCCTGTCTGGCCCTTTGCACTTTACTCTGCATTTTCATGTCCCTGTCTCACCGTGGGCTCTGGAGAGAGCACGTGGGCTGCACTTCCTCTTGTCCACCTCACTTAGCTCCCCCTGAGCCTGAGTGATGGAAGTCTGGGAAGTGAGCAGCTCAGGGTGGGCTGGAATCACCTCGCCCAAGAGGGATTCCTACTTAAGGGCAGGGGCCTGGGGAGCCAGTAGGGCTGGGAGAGGAAAGCCTTACCCTTCTGAGACGAGGCCAGTACAGCTTCCAGCCACTGCTGCAGGGTATTGTCACTGTAGATGGCTGGAGGGTGGGCCATAATGGGCACCCCAGTCTCATTGACTGTAGTGAATCCTTCTACAGTGACATCTGCCTCCAAGACCATGACATCACCTGTTTTTAAGAGGGAGAACTCAATCAGTACTTTAAAAATGCTTACCTACCATCTCTCTCTCTACCTATCTATAATCTATCTATCATCTCTCTCTTTATCTCTCTATTATCTATCCATCCATCTATCTACCTACCTACCGTGTGTTTGCTCATGTACCGTGGCTTATGTGTAGTGATCAGATGATGACTTGCAGGAATCAGATCGTCATCAACCATGTGGGTCCTGAGGATCACACTCAGGTCATCAGTCTTGGTGGCAAGTGCCTTTACCTGCCGAGCCATACAAAGGCCTCTCAATCAGCACTTGTTTTTTTTTAAAATGAATCTCTGACTGGTCTGGAATTCTTGTTACGTAGACCAAACTGGCCTCAAATTCACATAGATCTGCCTGCCTCTGCCTCCTGAGTACTGGGATTAAAGGTGAGGCACCACCACACCTGACCTGCTCTGGTTTATTGAGAAATTTTTATCCATCTGAATAGAATTTGAGTCAGGTGCACACAGCCTCCCGTGTCAACTTACTGTCCAGAACAATGGTTTTGGCTCCCACTCCCCGCCAAGACTACCCTTCTAGCCCTGTCCTCACTAACAACTAGGTGTTATTTTATCTGTTACATCATGCAGTTAACTCAGGTGAGCCCTTGAGCATTTAGCCTAAATGGAGCTCAGTCCGTTGGCACCAGGTTTAATGTGTACAAATATCGACACAACGTGCAGCTGTCAGATTGTAGGTTTTGATCTCAAGGTTGGGGTGGGGCCGAGATTCTCATCTCTCAGGTGCCCCCCAGTTAGGCCACTCTTCCATCCTGGAGCATTGGCTGAAACCATCTCTTCCTAAGGGACACCGCCCCCCGAGTCTTCCCTCCATGACAGTGGAGCTGAGTAACACCTGAAGCACTGGAGGAATGACCAGGGAATGTTGAAAGCGAGCAGATCAAAGACAGAAAGGGAGAGACCCTGCCGTTGTGGTGTGATCCCAGTATGAGGGACTGTGAGACAGGTCTTGCTGTGAGCTTGAGGCCAGTCAGGGGCACACAGTAAGTTCAAGGTCAGCCTGGGCCAAGTCCCGAGATCTTATCTAAACACACACACACACACACACACACACACCCAAATTCAAGACCAACCCCCCAGGCTCAGGGAAGTGAGATAGCTCATCTACTATCTCTGAGAATTTAAAAAATGCATTTGTTTTTATTTTTGGTGTTCAAGTGACGGCCTACATGTATGTACGTGTGCCACCTCTGTGCCTGGTACCAATAGAAGACACAAGAGAGCATCAGGTCCCCTGGAACCGGAGTTACAGAGAGTTGTGAGCTGCCATGTGGGTGCTGGAAACTGAACCTGGGCCCTCTGCAAAAGCAGCAAGCGTTTTTGAGCATGGAGCCTTTTCTCCAGCCCTCCCTCGTACCTGAGAATTTCATCAGGTTTCTTTAAAGTCCAGGTGCTGGCTTTTCAGGAGGGAGAATGAAGTCAAATGCAGGCTGTTGCTGGAACTGTTTTTGTTGGTTTGTTTTTGGGGACAGAGTCTTTTTTTTTTTTTTTTTTTTTTGGTTTTTCGAGACAGGGTTTCTCTGTGTAGCTTTGCGCCTTTCCTGGAACTCACTTGGTAGCCCAGGCTGGCCTCGAACTCACAGAGATCCGCCGGCCTCTGCCTCCCGAGTGCTGGGATTAAAGGCGTGCGGGGGACAGAGTCTTAATTCTGTTGCCCCAGGTAGCCTGAAATGTAATGTATAGCCCAGGCTAGCCTCAAACTCATGAGCAGTCCCCCTGCCTCTACTTCTCAAGTTCTGGGATTCTAGATATGTGCCAGAATGCCCAGCATTTTACTTCGGCTTTTGAGACAGTTTTGTTTTGTGGACCGCTAGCGTGGAGCTTGGATCTCCTGCCTCAGCCTCCCAGTGAGGACCCCAGGAGTGGGAGTTTCGCATCAGTCCATCCTATCCTTTCACTGTATCCTGTGCTTTGACGTTGGGACTATTGTCCTTATTGGTGAGAAGGTGCAAATTCCCAAGCCTCAGAACACCAGCAGTGACCCCAGAACCCATTGTGAGCCCTGACGGCCTATGGATGTTATGAAATAAATTTTATTTTTGTAACTTGAAGAGAGTTTTTTTTTTTTAAGGTATGTGTAGTAGTTTGAATGTAACTGGCCCCCATAAGCTCATAGGGAGTGGCACTATTAGAAGGTGTGGCCTTGCTGAAGTAGGTGTGGCCTTGTTGAAGGAAGTGTGTCACTGTGGGAGTGGGCTTTGAAGTCTCCTATGCTCAAGCTATACCCAGTGACAGAGTTCACTTCCTGTTGCCTGTGGATCAAGGTGTGGAACTCTCAGCTCCTTCAGCACCAGGTCTACCTGCATGCCGCCATGTCCTGCCATGATGATAATGGACTAAACCTCTGAAACTGTAAGCCAGACCAATTAAATGTTTTCCTTTATAAGAGTTGCCGTGGTCATGGTGTCTCTTCACAGCAATAAAAACCCTAACTAAGACAGTATGTGTTTTTCATGCATGCATGCATGTATGTATGTATGCATGTGTCATGTATGTGCCTAATGCCCCCAGAGGCCGGAGGGCATTAGATCCCCTGGAACTGGAGTAACATACAATTATGAACCACCTTGTGAGGGTTGGGAACCAAACCCAGGTCTCCTCTGCAAGAAAAGCAAGTGTTCTTCACCCCTGAGACATCGCCCCAGCTTCTACGAAGCTCTTCCTTAACTTTTGGCTACTTGGACATACAGTGGGTAGAGTCCATGGGGTTTGGGGCATAGAGAATCTAGGCCCGAGCAGGGTACCTGGCTGACACTGGTGTGGCAGAAACTAGGTATGGTGGCGCACATCAGAAATCCCAGCACTGGGAACCTGGAGATAGTAGGGTTAAGAGTTCAACGCTAAGCCGGGCGGGCGGTGGTGGCACACGCCTTTAATCCCAGCCCTTAGGAGGCAGAGCCAGGTAGATCTCTGTGATTTCGAGGCCAGCCTGGTCTACAGAGAGAGATCTAGGACAGGCACCAAAACTACACAGAGAAAACCTGTCTCGAAAAACCAAAAAAAAAAAAAAAAAAAAAGAGTTCAAGGCTAGCCTAAGTCACACAGAGAGTCCATATTACAAGGGGTGAGCTGGGGGTGTGACTCACTGAGAGAGTGCCTACACAGTATGCATAAGGCCTTGGGATTAACCTCCAACACCACCAAAAATAAAAAGCCAGGCATGGTTTCTGTCTGTCATCCTAGCAGGGACCCTGCCCATTGCTCCATAAATGGGATGAAGATTTCCATAAATAGATGGAAATTGTGCTCTCGACCTGACTGGCCTCCTTGAGGTGGTCACTTGCACGTCCTGTCTTCCTGGAAAGTCCTCTCCCTTAATACTGAAAGAGGTGAACAGTCCAGAGCTGGACCAGGGCGCTGACTTGCTTGGGGTGAGGGATCAAGGAAGTGAGGAGGAGTTTGGATCCTCAGGAATGGGAGGTGCTCCCCAGAGGGCAGGAGCACACGGTTGCCTAGCTCTCCACTCACCCACCAGGTGGGCATGATGGCTGAGTGTGCAGACCCTGAATCCACACACTGGCAAGCTGTGTGACACAGGCCAGGTTACCCAACCTCTCTGTGCTCATTCCCTCGTCTGTTGAGAATTAACTAATAACACATCCCAGGTTAGGCATTCACTAAGTGTTAATTATTATTTGCACTTACCTGGGGTAACCCAGGACCATTTGCTGTACTTCTGCTGTCTCAACACAATTACTAATAATGACTTGTTTGCAATCAAGCGTGCCCCAGTTTGGTTGACAAATGGCTCACCATCCACCCACATTTACCCAGGAGGGGAAGTCACTTGCCTGGAATCACAGCAACATTCCCCCATTCCACCTCCAGGGTCTCTTGTAGCCCAGGCTAGTCTGGAACTTGCTCTATGGCCCAGGATGACCCTGAAGTCTTAACCATCCCCTGCCCCTGACCTCCCCAGTGCTGCGTTTACAGATGTGCCCCACCAGGCCTGGCCAGAATCAGGGCTAGTAAATACCAAGGTAAAATTTGAAGTTTTTTGGCTGCCTCCATAGCACTCCGGCTTTTGCTATCTACCTGGGCACTCAGTCTAGACCATCCTAACTCTGCCAGCTCCCTCAGAGGCCTGCTCCGGGGTCTGTCAGCAAGGAAACTGGGCCTCTCTCTGCCAAGGGTGAGTCTTTGTGTTTCCTACTGCCAGCCCCTCACCCCATGACTCCTCACTGTGCCAGGCTGCCCTGGGTGAAGCTAGGTGGCAGGTCCTTTTGGTATCCCCTCAGGCCTTATCTCCTCCCTTTCTCTGACCTGGATCCCTTGTCAGAGCAGAGGACTTGGTGTGTGTGTGTGTGTGTGTGTGTGTGTGTGTGTGTGTGTGTGTGGTTGGACTCACCCTTCTACAGTGAGAAATTCTCAGTCCTCAGAGATTAAGGGAAAAACTCCTTAATTAGTGCACAGTTGTAGACTCTAGCTGTTACTTAAATAGCTCTAGGCTGGGTCAGAAATATCTCGTAGCTTGGATAGTGATGGGTACTGTCATCATCTTGTCTATGTGACCATTGACCATCTCAGAGTCATTCCCACCCCAAAGGAGATTTTTCCTGGAGCTAAGCAGATTTCCCACAAGCTAAGCTTTGCAGGCTCCCTAGTTAGGAAAGTTCCCTCGTTAGCAACAGGACCTGCTGCTGTCTGTGCTCTTCTCCAGACAAGGAAGAAGGGCCTAGCAGCTAGACAGACTCAGAAGCCGGTAGCTCAGTGTTAGCAGTGTTGTCTCAGACCAGAGACAGTTTCTCATTCCCTGTGTCACCCGGCGTCTTCTGAGGGAGCTTGAGAAGCATGGTTGATGTCAAATCTTGCCATCTCCTTTTCTCTTTCACTCCCGGTCAGCAAGGCCCAGATGTTGGAAGACACAGCTGAGGTTAGCGATGAACTGAGTCCCTCCTGGCCTGGCCTCTCCTCACTGGCCATTTAGGCCTTCAGCCAACCAGTTCTCCCCAGGCTACATGTCAGGCCCGCTGTATGGCGACCTGCCAGAGCAAAAGCCATAGCCTGATGGCCAGGCCTCCTCTGCTTCCAACCTATGTGTGACCCTGGATGAGACCTCGGGATGCTCATCTGAAATCAGATTATCTCCCTCTTTCTCTCCCCGTCCCATTTCTTTCTGACAAGGTTTTGATATGTAGCCTGTGCCAACCTGGAACTAGTGATCCTCCTGCCTCAGAGCTTCCTGAGGTCTGGGGTTACAGGTCAGCAGGAGGTTTTTCTTGACTGGTGGTTCTCACAGTGAAATCCTAAACAGCAGTGTGGCCTGGGAGCTCTCAGGCCACATCTGCAATGCTGAATGGGGACCTTGGGGACCTGTGTCTCCTGAAGCGAACCTAAGCCAGGACTCTTCCCCACCCCACCCCCACCACCGTCCTCCACAGCTTGGAGTTTATGGGCTTCTCAACAACCCCCAAAGAGAATGTTTCCCCATTGACCCAAACCAGGGACTCAGATCACAGACTTAGGGGCTGATGTATATTGGCCTCACTCCTCTGTGACTCAGTTACCTAATTTCTCTGAGCTTCAGTTTTTCTTCTATGAATAGTGCCCACAAGCAGGTTGCATGGGTTCCAGGGGACCTCCATGCAGTGTGAGGGGAGTGTGTGCCTGTCACTGACAGGACGCCATGATTGGACTGTAAGGCACTGCTTACGTGTTCACAGCCTGTTTCAGGAGCACTGTTGAGTTCATGTCTCTGGCTTTTTAATCCTGGAGGTCAAAGGCCTCCTTAGGAGGGACCATCAGCCCTTGATAGGTTGAGGGAGGGTTGTTGGAGTGAGTAGAGTATAGTGATGAGCCTGGATTTAGCACCTGGTCTAAATCCAGGCCTCAGCGCTCACTGGCTGCTCAACCTGAGTGGCCTCAGCCCTCAGCCCTGTTCCCTCAGGGAGACTGCGGCAGGCATATGAAATAGCCACTATAGAATTGCCATGACCTGCCCTCTGACCCCCGGACCCCAAGCAGGATGGCTAGACTTACTGTTCAGGGCGGCCTCCATCTCTTTCTTGCTGTTGGCTGCGTGGTACCAGGTAACCAGCAGGCCATCCCGGTGGCTGATATGGCCTGTGCTTAGCATGTAGTCGAGCATGTCAGCATCCGGGCGACAAACATCTTGCTCACAGCCTGGAACCAATGCCAAGGGGTTGTTATCATCATCTCTGGCTCAGCCCAGCATGCTTAGCTATAATTCTAACTCTTATGAATCTAGCATTCTATCCAGTAGACAGACAGCAGGACCCACAGTCTCTGGTCCAGTTAGACACATTGAGCCTAGCCTGGTGGTACATGTCTCTAATCCTAGCAGTTGAGAGGTCACGGCAGAAGGATTGGCACCAGTATGAGCCCAGCCAGGACTACATAGTAAGTTCCAAGTCAGTTGGGCCATAGAGTAAAAATCTTTTTCAAATATGTAGAATAGGGGCTGGGGATGTGGCTCGGTTGGTGCTTGCTTGCCCGCCTTACCACCTAGCCA